TGCAGACATTGCGGGGGCGTGCGCGGGGCCCCCCCCGCCGCCACCCGGCCGAAGGCACCGCGGGGGGGGCCGGGCGCAACGTGTGTCGGGGTTGTTGGGGGGAAGGGAAGGGGGGAGGTGAGGAGGGGAAGCACCCAGGGGCGCCCCAGGGGGCTGGGGAGGAGGGGGGTACCGAGTGGGTGAGTATGGTGGGGGGCACCCAAAGGTGCTGAGGCTGCACGGGGGCACCCATGGGTGTCCAGGTGCCCCGGGGCATTGGGACCCGCGGTATCCGTTGGCACCCGGTGGTGCAGAGGAGCACCCAAAGGTGCTGAGGGGCATCCGAGGGTGTATTTGGACACCCATGTGTTCACTGGCACCCAATACTGCGTTGGGGCACCCACGGGTGCAGAAGAGCCCCCCCCCTTCCCCTCCCCCTCCTCCAGTCGTTTTTAAGCCCCCGCAGCTCACCAGCACCTGGGGCTGCACCCATGGGTGCACCAGGACCCAGGGTGCATTCAGACTCCCAAAAGGTCCACTGGCACCCAGGGGTGCAGCAGAGCACCTGAAGGCGCAGAGGGGCATCCGAGGGCACGCTTAGACCCCCCCCACACACACCCCCCCAAAATCCACTGGCACCTAATGAAGCTGGGAGGCACCCAAGGCTGCATTTGGGCACCCAAAGGTCCACCGGCATCCGAGGGCGGCAGAAAAACACCCCGCTCTGCCTTCCAGCCCCTAAGGGCACCCAAAGACGCTCAGCGGAACCGCTTTTGGCACCCTGGGGGCACCCCTAGAACCGCCTCCAGCGCCCCGGGGTGCCGCCCCCCACCCACCCCCCCCGTCAGACGGTGCTCTCCAACATCCAGTGGGTGCTGCCGAAGGACGGGCGCAGCGCTGGCAGCGCGTCGGGGGCGTCGAGGCGAGGCAGCGATCCGTGCCGCCGAGTCCGGGCGCGCCGAGGGAAGCTGTGACTGGGAAACAACGCACGGGAACCGCCGGGTGCGCTCAGAACCGGAGGAACCGGAGGAACCGCTAAAGGCTGCGGTGGAGGCGGTTCGGGTTCCGGTGCTCTGTGGGTGCCGTTGGTCTGCGAACAGACGCTGGCGACGGCGGCGGGAGGACGGCGGGCGGCTTTGTAGCGAGCGGTGAGGATGAGGATGAAGACGAGGACGGAGGCGGCGATGGCGGCACCGATGACGATGATGACGGTGCCCCCCAAGAAATGGGGTCGGGGGGCGGCGCAGCCCGGGGTTCCCCCAGCGGTGGCGAAGCGGACGCAGCCCAGAGCCCGGGATGCGGGCGGTGCCGCGGTGCCTTCGGCGTAGAGAGCGGAGACGCAGAGATCGTATTCGCGGCCGGCGGCCAAATCCCGCAGCACGAAACTCCGGCTGGACGGGGGCAGCAGCCTGCGGGGAAGAGCGGGGAGGGGGTTGGAAAGGGTGATGGGTGGGGGGGCAGCACGATGTCCCCGCAATGCGCAACGCTGCTCTGCGGCTCCACGCTGCCCCCGCGGCGTAAAGAGGCGCAGCTTCCTCGTGTGATGCTCCGCAAAACCACGCGGCTGCGTGCGATGCCGTGCGGTGCCGCGCGGCTCCGTGCAACGCTCTGCACGCCCCTGGGTCTGTGCAATGCCATGTGACACCACGCAGAGCCCTGTGACCCCGCAATCCCATGCAGTGACCCCACAAATCTCCTGTCCTGCGACTCCCAGGTTGGATGGAGCCCTGGGCAGCCTGGGCTGGTATTAAATGTAGAGATTGGTGGCCCTGCACGTGGCATGAGGGTTGGAGCTTCGTGATCCTTGAGGCCCCTTCCAACCCTGGCCATTCTGTGATTCCGTGACCCCCATGCAAAGCCCTACAGCACAACACTGCTCCGTGCAACACCCCCCCCAGACCCGAGCCATGCTCTGCAATGCCCTCGAGCAACACCTTGCAACACCTCACAGCTCTGTGCAACACCATGCAACGTCCCACAGTAGCACACAGCTCCGTGCAACACCCCGCACACCCGAGCAGCGTCGCAACGCACCACCCAACGCCATCAAACCCCACATTCCACAACCTAAATCCCCTTCCAACTTTCCGGAACCCCTCGCAACCCAAACCTGTAAACGAGCGAGTCGTCGATGGAGCTGTTATACTGGATCTGGAACATGCGCAGCCCAGGCACGTGGCGCTGCGGCAGCCAACGGATGCGCGCCGACGACGCCGTCAGATCCGCAGCCACGATGCGCCGCTCCGCACCCACCGACAGCGAGTCGTTGGCTCCGGCCCGCGCCATATCCGAAGGGCCGGGACCTGCCTGAGCTTCCCCATCCCCATCCCCGTGTCGGTGAGGCACCGGCAACGGCAGCACCGCCACCTCCACGCGTGCAGCGGCCTCACCGGCAGCGTTGGACGCCACGCAGGTGAAGGCGCCGTGGTCACGCAACGTGGCCACGCGCAGCTGCAAGGAGCCGTCGGCACCCAACTCTCGCCGTGAGCCGTTCTGCACCAAACGCCCGTCGGGACCCAACCAGTGCAAAGCGGGCTGGGGGTCCCCGTTGGCGGCACAACCAAGACGCAGAGGTTGCCCTTCCAGCACGGCGCTGGGACTGGCGGCCGCTCCGGCGATGTGGGGAGCTCGGCACGCCAGCTCTTCCTCGGGCACAGCCCAAAGCAGGCGACCGGCGAGCGACGGCGGCGAGGCGCAGCTCTCCAAACCGTCGGGTCGTGCCAAACGCCGCAGCCACAGCAGCTCACAGTTGCAGTGTAATGGGTTGCCTCCTGCCGCCAGGCTGGGTCCCGGTGGACCCGGTACCGGAGGCAGCGCCCGCAGGCGGTTGGCTGTCAGGTCGAGACGGGCCAAACGCGGCAGGCGGCTGAGCGCCGTGGCGGGGACGCGCTCCAGCAGGTTGTGGTCCAGAGTCAGCGTAGCCAGGCTGGCCATGGCCGCCACCGCCTCCCAGGGCAAAGCAGGCAGGTTGTTGTGAGACAGATCCAAATCCTCCACGGTGGCGGCGAAGGCGGCGAAAGCGGCGGGTTCGATGGCGGCCAGCTGGTTGTTGGCCAGGATGAGGTGCCGCAAGCTGGCCAAACCGCGCAGCTGCGGGCCGCTGAGCGCCGGCAACCGGTTGCCATCCAGGTGCAGAGCCCGCAGAGCCCGCAGGTCAGCAAAAGCACCGGGAGCCAAACGGCGCAGCCCGTTGCGCGACAGCGTCAGGTGAACCAGGCTGCTCATGTTGGCGAAGTCGGCGCGACCCACGGAACCGATGAAGTTGTCGGCCAGGCGCAGCTCCACGGCTCCGCGGTCCAGGCTGGGAGGCACCGCCAGCAGCCCCGTGCGGGCGCACAGCAGAGTGGGGCTGGGGGCGGCCGCGGGGCAGAGGCAGCGCGGGGGGCAACGCTGAGCCACCGCCCCCAGCACCACCAGCGGCACCAGCAGCTTCGCCATCCTGCGCCAGCCTGGGGGTGAGACGGTGTGAGATGATCCCACGGTATCTCAGCTGGGAGCTCGGGATCCCATGGGTGATCCCGCACCCAACACTATGCGTTGATCCCATTTGATGCTACGTGCCATGCAGGGTGTGATCCCATAATCCCAGGTAAAGCATTCCCGTGTGATCCTATGATGTTAATCCTACGTGATCCCAGGTGTCATTGCATGCACAGTCCCACATGGGATTCCATAATCCCATAATCCCATAATCCCATAATCCCATAATCCCATGTGTGATCCCGCACCCAACACTATGTCTTGATCCCATATGATGCTACATGCCATGCAGGGTGTGATCCCATAATCCCAGGTAAAGCATTCCCATCTGATCCCGTGATGTCAATCCTGCATGATCCCAGGTATCACTGCATGCACGGTCCCACATGGGATTCCATAATCCCATAATCCCATGTATGATCCCGCACCCAACCCTATGTGTGTGATCCCACATGATGCCACGTGCCATGCAGGGTGTGGTCCCATAATCCCAGGTAAAGCATTCCCATTTGATCCCATACAGGATCCCAGGTGTCATCCCATTCACAGTCCCACATGGGATTCCATAATCCCATAATCCCGTGTGAAATAAACCCCGTAATCCCACGTACCCAACCCCATGCGTTGATCCCACATGATGCCACGTGCCATGCTGTGTGTGATCCCATAATCCCAGGCAAAGCATTCCCATTTGATCCCATAATTAGTGACCCCAGGCATCATCCCACGCACGTGACCCCACCATCCCATAATCCCACGTGCAATAATCCCCCGTGTGACCCCACATACGACCCCGTGTGCTCCTCTACCCTACAAGGACCTCGTAACCCTTTGCGTCATCCCCTCTGTGGTTCCCACTGCAATCCCACAGCGACCCCAAAAGCTCCGTACCTCCTCTCACAGCTCCATCTTCATCCCCACCGGGCGCTGCCACAGGGCCTGCGGGACAGGGGATGAACCAGTATGGACCAGTACACACCAGTACATCCCAGTACGCCTCTCTACATCCCAAAATGGCTCAGAAACAGCACGGGAAAACCCAGTATAATCCAGTATGTTCCAACATGACCCAGTATGGCCCGCTAAGGGTCAGCGTGGGCACAGCCCAGTACAGGTCACAGCACTGCAGGATGGCCCAGTATGGCCCAGTATGGCCCAGTATGGCCCAGCACAAACCAAAATGGTCCCAGTATGAGCCAATATTGCCCAGGATGACCCAATGCAGCCCAGTATGGCCCAGTATGGCCCAGCACAAACCACAATGGTCCCAGTATGA